AGTAGCAAGACGTAACAATCAGTAACAAGACGTAACAATGCAGTAACACGACGTAACAATGCAGTAACAAGACCTAACAATGCAGTAACAAGACATAACAATGCAGTAACAAGACGTAACAATCCAGTAACAAGACCTAACAATGCAGTAACAAGACCTAACAATGCAGTAACAAGACCTAACAATGCAGTAACAAGACGTAACAAGCCAGTAAGAAGACCTAACAATCCAGTAACAAGACCTAACAATCCAGTAACAAGACGTAACAATGCAGTAACAAGACCTAACAATCCAGTAACAAGACCTAACAATGCAGTAACAAGACATAACAATCCAGTAACAAGACATAACAATCCAGTAACAAGACGTAACAATCCAGTACAACAAGACGTAACAATCAGTAACAAGACGTAACAATCCAGTAACAAGACATAATCAGTAACAAGACGTAACAATCCAGTAACATGCAAGACGTAACAATCCAGTAACAAGACGTAACAATCAGTAAGAAGCCATATCAAGCTAAAACTTAGAGCCGTTAAAAGAAGTGCGGTACAGTTTGTAATACAGATCATGTTATTACTAAAGCGTAGAGCCGTAGAAGCGTACAGTTTATATTGTAGATAACGTTATTACTAAAACGTAGAGCCATAAAAGCGTACAGTTTATAATGTAGATAAAGTCACTACTGGAACCGAACATAGAGTGGACATGGCATCATGACTAAACCGTAAAGCCGTGGATGAGACCTGGCTTTATAGCAAACATATTTTTCTAGATGACAATAGCAAGAGCCACATCACTGAGTAGAATGTAGGTATCCATGGCAACAATTAGTGTAACAGTTGTGAAGAGTTAATGTAAGAAAATGGAACGAGGGGCAGTGCTATAAAAGTGATTGCCATACAGTTGTAGAAGTCTGTAGACACAAAACTCTACGCCATAAATCACATCCAAAATCGTGCCACAGTTGCAAACTAATAGAATGAAATGCTTGCTTCTTACTTGTCAGAAGTTGTGAGAACTGTAAGAGCTTTCTCCTGTAACTTGACAATCTTGAACGCCTTTCTGTTACACTTTAGATCCCCTCCAGCATGTTCCCAGACCACTATGTTGCCGCAACTTGTGGCTGTGAGGGCCCGGGGAGAATGAAGCTGGAAAATGGACTGGCTATAATGACCAACACTACGATTGAAATCCTACAAAAAAGCAGGAAAAAAAACATTTTCAACTTTTTTTTTATCAAAAACTCACAGGTTTGAATTTCACCTATAATCCCTAATGAATTAAAAATCTAGGCCAACTGACTGTTATGTGATCCAGACCAGAAAAACAGTAGTAAAATTGCTTGAAATATCATTGAATTAATTTACAACCTTGAAAAATCCTATTTAAAAAGTGTTGAATGAGAATTAAAATAGCAGATTTCATTTGAGTGTTGTAAAACCAAAAAGCAATTACAATGGCCAATCACAAGAAACATAGGCAACACAATGAACCAATGAGAACTTAAAGCATGCACAGGAAAACGTGAGTGACCAAGTAGTGATTGGGTTTGGTTTTGTATCTGATTTGTTGAGTTCACTGTAGGTGGCGCAAGATTTTTAAACCAATCACAGAGCGTAGCAAAGTAAACCCAATATATTTTAATCTCAATTGGAAACTGCTCTATACTCCTGCTGACAAATGGCATCAGCCTGGAAATAAAACAAAAGATTGTCCTACCTTGTCTGTGAGTGGTGGGGCAACATACTCCAGTGTCGTGTCATTCTAAAAATTTCATAGAGAATTTCCAAAATGTTAATACCTTACAAGACAGAAATGCCTCCTCTTTAATCTTTGGGTAGAAAGTGAACGAAGGAGGTTCAACCATTATTGTATACAGCCATTCAATTACCCTTTGAGTACTCAAGACTTTCTGGCCCTAAGAACTGCCCAGGTTCAAACGCAAACAGCAAAAGTCCCACTTTTGCCGTCTGCTGTTTCTATGTCAAAGTGAGTAGTTCCGCGTTTATTGTGCAAGTGTGAATTATTTGTGATTTTTCTGATGGATTTGGTTAACGAGGAAAAGTAAAGAGAATCGACTGCAAGTTGGTGTTTGCCACAGAATGTGGTGCTTAATCTCTCTATTGTGTCGTGTTCCCTCCCCACTCAGGAGTAAATGAGTACCAGCTACGGGACTAGCATCCCATCAAGGGGAATAGCAATATTCCTAGCACCAGCCTCATAAGCTTGCCGCTAGACTTGTGTACACAGACTTAAGGTGGCTTCATGTAGTTTTTAGCATTGGGTGAGAGTTTTGAAAACAAAAATTCAATCGGGAGGCAAACTTCAATTTTTACAATGGCGATAGTTTCATTTTCTAGGCAACAGAGGTTACTGTCAGTAGCAACGATTTTGCCATCCTATTGGTTTTACACAAGGCTGATTTTCTCGAAATCTAGTCAGGAACATTGAAAATCTATAAGGCAGTTTTTGAATAAAACAACACTGAACTTTTTGTGGATGGTTTTGTGTATTTCCAAGAATTTACTCAATTAACAGACTATATCTATGACTATAAGATGTTTCTTTGATGCCTTGACATACCCATTGATAAAAAACCACTTGAGATTCACTGTTGCTAACAAGTTCATTTGTGTCCTCTGGGTTGAAGGTGATGTATGTCTGTCAAGAAAAAGCAAAGCATTTTTAAAGACCATCACATATTTATTTAGCCTGCGAATACCAGCCGCCTTCCATCGCGCGTCGGTTGTAGCGTCCCGCGAGAAAGGTCATCTGCGATTTGCAGCCAGAAATTCCATACTGATACCTTTCTCGTGGGACGCTGTAAGCTGCGCGCGATGGAAGGCGGCTGTATTCTCAGGCTAATATTTGTTGATCACTTGAAAAATTACATATCAAAAGGAAGAGCAGTAGCAGGGTTCCAGATACGTTTTAAAGGCAAAGTGTCAATGAGGAATTGCAATGGGTCAATAGATATGGACCTCGCTAAAATCGTCTGAAGTTTTCCATTAATCTGTCGAGTCGCTAGCCAATCTTGTTGGATGTTTGACCCGAAACCCCTCCCTTAAATCTGGAACACTGAGTACAGTCAGCTCTTGTTACAGCGGACACCCTCAGGACGTAGTTTGGAGTCCGTAATAGCGAGAGTCCACAATAATAAAAAAATTATTGCGGGAGTAATTTTCAGTCAAACCTCTACAGCTTTCACCAAGTGGAGGGTTGAATTTTGTCTGTAATAGTGGGCGTCCGTAATAACAGGGTGTCCGCAATGCGAGATTTGACTATAAAGAAGGTTGTCCTTGCAGTTGAACCAAAGTCAAGCTTAGAAATTTGAATTCTACCAAGAAGTTTCTTCACTCCTTACCTGTTTTCCAAAGTTGTCGTCCAATACAACAGAACACATAGGCGCGTCACCATTGGTAGTCCAATCCCACACAGACACAGTCTAATAAAAAATCAAATTCAACACATTATTAGTTTATTTTAAACTTACAGTATAACTATTGTAATTCAAACTTGGGCGTACTGGGGAGCTGGGATGGCACAGTGGTGAGAAGACTCGCCTCCACCGATGTGGCCCAGGTTCGATTCCAGCTGGGAGTCACATGTGGGTTGAGTTTGTTGTTGGTTCTCATCCTTAATAATTCATCAAGTTAAAACAAATGAAATCATAACCATACCATATTGGAGGTTTGGACGCCCGGTCTTAATAAGCATAGATTTTTAAGTTTTTATTTCTCCGTTTACTCCTTAGTTTTTGTTTCGATTGAAAAGATAAATCAAACACGAGAGACAGTGTTTCATCAGCTATCCAAACACCTCGAATTTCTCCGATGCACGACATATTTTCAACCCTCTTCGCCGTGTTTGGATATCCCGATGAAAACACTGTCTCTCGTGTTTGATATATATTACTAATAAAAGTTTGATCCATACCTGTGGAAGAGTGCTGCTTATAGTGGCAATATACTTAGCATCAGGTGACATGGCAATGGCGGCACATCCATTAGGATGTGCTTCAAATATCGTCTGAACTGGAATCCTGTGAGGCAAACCAAAGAGAAATAATTCAAGATAAAAAATGTAAGTTCACTGTGTAAGCCAGGATTTGAAAAGTGAGCATCCAAAATAACTCTCAAGCCAGTAACTCAAAAGTCAAGATGTGGGGGGAAAAATTTGGAGGGCATCCATGGGATAGCTGGATGTATGCCCATCTGGCTACAAACTTTTAGCCTGATCCAGGCTCTAAGATAATAGCTTGGAACAGGCTACATTATATTTGATGGTTCTGATAACATTTGAGTTAAAAAAACAAAATCCTCTGAGCGGTTTGCAAAAGATTTCCATCATACATGTCATACCTTATATGGAAGTGTTTGATTATACCACAAGTGAAATATTGTACCTTCCATGATAAGGTATGACATGTGTATGATTGATGGAAATCTTTTGCAAAAAACATACTCAGAGGAGTTTTGATTTAAAAGATTGTGTAACAACAGTGAAATCAGTGGTAACACTCCAATAACTGTTGCAGTTGCAGTCTTACGTTGTGAATGAATCCCAGATGATAACCATACTGTCCTTGCTACTGTCTGCTGTGGCAATCCACCTTCTGTCTTCACTGACACAAGTACAGGCAATGGAATTACACTGAAACAAATAATAACAATCACACAGTAGACTTTTATATTTATAGGAGGTGTCAGTCTAGTGGTTGACACATCAGACTTGGGCTAATAACTTACTTTTATGTGTAGAAAGAAATGATGGTGAATTTTAAGCTTGGTAGAAATAGAAGAAATATGTTTTATCAGTCAGTGGCACAAGCTACTCGGAAAATGTTTTCAGAGTTCTCCCAACAGGAGTCAAACCTATGATCTTCTGCACACTGGTTGGACGCTCTACCACTGAGCTACAGGAGACTCGTGGGAGCTTAGGCTGCTAGGATAGGTTTTGTCGATACATGTATGTGGGATATGAGCTCCCACGAGTCTCCTGTAGCTCAGTGGTAGAGCACCCAACCGGACTGTGCGGAAGGTCATAGGTTTGACTCCTGTTGGAAGAACTCAGAAATGTTTTCCAAGTAAAGGTAGCTTGTGTCACTGCGACTGATAAAACATATTTATCATTTCTCAACTTACTTTTAGTTTGAAGAGATGGGAAGGGCCACAGGGCCTCAGGAAAATATTATTTGACAAAACTGCTAGTTCAGGTGAGGGAACAAGTAAATCAGTTCATGGTGAATTCCGGCATCTGAGAACTGACAGAGACTGTGGTTTTCATCCAGAAGTTGCTAAGCAACATGACGTATCTTCTTATTACACCATGATGGGGTGACAACTTTCGGAGTAATTTTGAGTGTTCCCGCTATTCTTTGACTAGAAAATAAAAATCAGAAGCTTTACAAGTGCTTCCCCAACTGAGTTCACATCAAGGAATACATTCTGGGACATTGTCACCACTTGTACTGTAGTTTGCACAGTCAGGAAAGGAGACTGGGACTTGCACACATGCTCTTGTCCCTTCTTGTGTGACAACACTTAATTAAACTTACTACAAGTATGATTGTAACAGGTATGGTACATGTACATGTAAGAATCATAATTTCTCAATATAACAGCTTACATGTCCTTGGAGAAGTTGCTGTTTGTTTGCTCCCCAGTCAAACATGACACCAACATGTGCACAAACAAAGAATGCTGCCTGGAAACAAGATGAATACAGTTAAGGTCAGAGGTCAGATCTTTTGTGCAGGTGATGTTTCTTGTCACCACAATCCGAGTTCAATAACTTAATGATTCTCACACTCTAATAGTAATTAGTAAAAATCTACTAGTGTACTTATGCAAATGCAGTAATCTGATTGGCATTGAAAGCTACTCAAATATTATCAATGCATTGGTACATGTACTGTATACGAGTGGCTGGATGTCGTCTACAAAATGGCGGTTTCTTCTTGTTTCTTGTTTCAGATACAGTTAAAAAATAGACCAATTTTTGGCAAAGGACAATCCAAGCATTAAGAAAGTGTTCGCACTTTTCTGATTAGCACAGTAAGAACACTCAAGAAGTGCAAGAAGAATGCGGTTACGCCTCATGCTTCTCTAAACACTTCTCTCATGTTCTTAAAAATTCCTGCATGCTTATATAACTCAACAATGCGCTCAGGTGTTTTGTGTTTCATAACAATATTAGGGGTGGCGAATGGTAAAATCCAAGACTTGCCGAGACACTGGTTTAAAAATCCCAGCTCGAGACTTAGCGCTCCAAAAATCCGAGCCCGAGACGCAGTGATCCAAAACTCCGAGAAAATAGAGTATAAAAGAAGTTGAATTTGCGAGATTCAAAATTCAAGACTCCGAGACCGTCCTATTTCTGGCGAGCCCGAGATTCCGAGACCCTTTTTTTAAGCGCCGAGATTCGTTATTTTTGATAGACCATTCGCCACCCCTAATATTGTCTAGAGAGCTTTTACCATTTGTTTCACTGTTACGCGACTGTTTAAATCAAAACTCCTCTGAGCAGTTTGCAAAAGATTTTCATCAATTATACATGTCATGCCTTATATGGAAGTGTTCGATTTTACAGAAGTTAACACCTTCCACATAAGGTATGACATGTATGATTGACAGAAAATTATCTTTTGCAAACCGCTCAGAAGAGTTTTGATTTAGACGATCACGTAACAGTGAAATCGATAGTAATGATGAGTTACCATGTGGTATTCTTAGGGGCCGTCGACATATTCCAAATTACCCCGCTTAACGTCCACTGGACATTTAGGGGTGGAGGGGGTAAGGAGAGGAAATATTTGGACGTTAGTGTGGGGCATTTTGAACAACAAGAAGTGGGACTGAGCATGGAGGCGAAAAGTCACGAAATTTGTGAGCTCCTGACATCTTTAGAGTTTTCGCTTGCTTTCCTCCCCTCTGCATGGAATTTTCATCCTTATTTAAGAGGAAAAGCCGAGAAAGTAATAGTCCACCCACTAAAGAAACTGTTTCACCTGAAAACAAGAGGTTAAAAGAAGGCAAGTTATATCTCAAGACCACATTCTGTCCGCCATTGTTTCTACAAGCAGTGTTTCTACAAGCAGTGATCCAGAAGACGAAATCCTATCTGCCCTAAGCATGGCGGATAACCTCGGGCCTAAAATAGACGAAATATTTTCCAAGCTAAGTCAACTCGACAGCATCAGCAGCCAAATAAAATCACTGCACGAATCGGTGGACAAAATTAACCAAACGGTCGCAGGCTTGCAGGTTGAGTTCAATTGCCTGAAACAAGACGTAAAAGATGCTGTTCAAGAAACAAGCAGCCTAAAGTCAAACGTTAAATTCCTCAACGAAGAAGTAGAAGCTGGGAAAATTAAACTCCAAGATTCTGAAGAAAAAACCCAGTCAGAACTCGAGAAACTACGCCTTCAACAGTTGGACTACGAGATTTACAACCGCCGCGAAAACTTACGTTTTTACGGAATTCCTCAAGAGGATGCGGCGGAGGCAACCGAAGAAATTCTGTATAACTTCCTTGAGAGGGAACTAAATATTGAAAGCGCCCGTTCCATCGAGTTCCAAAGGGTACATCGTATCGGGGAAAAGAATTCCAACGCAAGTAAGCCTCGAGTTATCTTAGCACGCTTCCTCCGCTTCAAAGAACGCGAAGCTCTATTCGCTCGTCGACGCTTCATCGACAATGAATCAGGCTATGGTTTTGGTGCGGATCTGCCCAAGAAAGTATTTGATATGAGGAGAAAGCTAATCCTTAAAATGGAGCTCGTGCACAGGGAAAAAGAGCTGCTTTTAGCAGAGCCGAACTCTACAAACTCCTTGTTGATGGTGTAGAAATAAAATAAGTGATACATTTTGTATTTATTTACCTTCTTCTACCTACGCGATGCATGAATGTATTTATTTCACAACAAGCAATTCATCGCCAAATGAGTTTTTCGGTTTGGTACCGAAGTCAGGAACAGGTCAGGCTTTTCTTCTTTTTTTTTTAGATTTAATGCCCCATTTAAAATAATTATAGTTGTTTATATTGTTTATCAACCTTTATGTAGGATATGCATATTTTTTCGTAGGTGTTAGGAGCTCACAAGTTTTTTTGCATAATTTATGCTCTAAAAAATCGGTACGACACTTGGTCTCACTCATTCGTAGTATTTAACAGTTTTTTCATACTGGCTACGTTTTTATATTTTCCTTTTTTGTTTCATTTTGTGTGTGTTTTTATGTTTATAAAACTGCCGACTAATCAGGGACAATATGGCTTCTTTAAGGTGATATTAATAGAGGTGACAATTGTCTGCGTTCATTGTAATTACCTATATCGCGATGCAGGAAAATAATGCAAATAATTTACAACTAAAAGCTCTCTCTCTCTCAATGTTCGTGGTATTCGTACTTTTGAAAAGAGGAAAGGAATTTTTAATTGGCTAACCAAACAAAAGGCAGATATTTGCTTTCTTCAAGAGACATATAGTACCAAAGAAATTGAAAATCAGTGGAGAACGCAATGGTGCGGAGATTTGTTTTTTGCTCACAGCTCTCCCCATAGTCGTGGGGTTGCCATACTCATACGAAACACACTTGATTTCGAGCTTAAGTCAGTTAAGTCGGATGAGGAAGGAAGAATAGATTTATCATTTTAGAGAACATTATTCAAGATGATCCCTTCCTGTTGATAAATATCTACGCACCTAATACAATACCTCAGCAATCACAATTTTTCCAAAAAATATCCGACCTAATCAACGAAGAAGATCATTACAAAGAATGCAAAATTTTACTCGGTGGAGATTTTAATGTAACTCTATATCCTTCTCTTGATTATCAAGGTGGAAATCCGACTTATAAAGAATCGGCCAAAGTTCTAGACGATATTCTCTAGGAGAACGAGCCCCGATAGCAAAAGTTTCACGTGGAGAAAAAAAACTCCATTTATACAGAGGCGACTGGATTACTGGTTTATCAGTGATCTTCTACAAGATGATGTTGCTAAAGTCGACATTGTGCCTGCTATTAAGACTGATCACTCAGCAGTCGTTCTTGTAATAGATAGCATAGGTGAACAAAAACATGGTCCATCCTTTTGGAAGTTAAATAATAGTCTCCTGGAGGACAACGACTATGTTCTTCTGATGCGAGAAAAATTCCCAGAATGGAAGACGGAAATTGACCTCTGCAATGACCCGAGAATAGAGTGGGATTGGATAAAACACAAAACTCGCCAAGAAACTATCTCTTATAGTAAGAAAAAAGCTCGCCAGAGAAAAGAAGACATAACATTAATTGAAAAAGATTTAAGGGATTGCCAGGAAGCTGTCGATGCGTTTCCAACATGTGAAAATATAGAGAAATTAGAAAGGGCTAAGGCAGAATATGAAAGAGAATACAATATTACATTATAACAGGTTCAATCATTCGTTCACGTGCTACATGGTACGAAAAAGGTGAAAGAAATACCAAGTTCTTTCTGAACCTAGAAAATAATAAAAAGAAGAAGAGCTCGGTAAGAAAGCTATTACATACAAATGGAAAAGAAACCACAAATCCGAACACAATTGCAAAGGAAATATTTTCCTTTTATGCGGATCTTTATGATAAAAAATTAGATGTAACTATTGACCAATCGACTTGCCCCTTCTTAAACTCCGCTTATATCCCTAAATTATCATCTGAAATCCGCGACACGTGCAAGGGCGAGCTAACGTATGCAGAATGTTTTAATATCCTTCCTTCTTTCAAAAATAACAAAACGCCAGGAAACGATGGTTTATCCGTGGAATTTTATAAAGTTTTTTGGGCCCGAAATCGGGAGGAACTTGGTTGATTCCCTAGACTTCTCTATCATCACGGCGAACTATCAACTACTCAAAAAGAAGCCGTAATAACTCTTATAGAGAAGAAAAACCGAGATAGAAGATTGATTAATAACTGGAGACCAATTTCCTTAGTCAACGTTGATGTGAAGATAGGCTCAAAGCGATTGCAAAAAGACTGGAGAAAGTCCTACCCCATATCATTCACTTTGATCAATACGCCTTCGTCAAGGGTAGAACTA